TTGAATAAAATCTGTCAATAATAAGCAGCAGTCAAACAAGTCAGATTTAACTAAGATCAGTCATGATGTAATAGTATGAGTTATACAGGGATCCTGATTGAGTTAATAGGAAATTAAAGATGACCACTGTGCTGTATCCTGGTATCTTTCGGGACAGCTGTCTGTGCCCTCAGATCCAGTGCTTATATACAAACTAGGACGGAACAAGTTCCATCCAAGCAGAGTGGTGTGAGTAATAAGGGTTTTAATTCCTGATACACTATTAGCTATATCTTCTGCTGTTTTTTTAAGACTATTCCTCCCCTTTACTCCCCCAGAATAAACTGTGTATTCTTGAGTCTCCCCAAAACTCACAGTTTTATATTGGGGGGAGGCAACCTGCTATTTACCTAAGTGTTTCTGAACTTTCTCACTCCTAGACTGGATTTCTAATTATATTTCTTCATTTATTAAAGCCTGTCTGTTCAACATATCCATAAATACTGGTCCAGTTACCCCTATTACTCTCTGGTTCCCTATCACATCAAGTTCCATTTTCTCATATTTGATTTTGGTCCATATAACCTTCTTCGGGCTAATTATATTTCCTATAAAGCTCCTCTTGGTGGACCCTACCTCTTGATCCACTCTGCCAGCAATTCTCTCTTTTTTCCCTTAAGTTAGTGTATCTAGGCCATCTATATTAGAAAGTATGTCCAACCTTCTTTGCCTTATTTCAGTTGTGCTCTTTTTCTGTCATTAGTTGTCTATCTTCTTCATTTTACTTTCTGCTCCATTCCTTGTGGCCTCTCTCTCACTGTTTCTGGAATCTTGGTACTTTTCTCTCTCTTTAGAATGTCCTGCAGTATTCTCTGTAGAGTTGGATTGGCGATTGCAAATTCCCCCAGTTCCTCTTTATCTTGGGAGCACCTTGTTTCTCCATTAATTTCTAGGGACAGTTGTGCAGGATATATCAATCTTGGCTGGAGGTTATTGTCTTTCAAAGCTTGGATTATTTTGTCCCACAGTTTTTGAGATTTGATGGTTTGTGCCGAGAAGTCTGCTGTAATTCTGATGGATGTTTCCTTGTAAGTGATCTGTTTCTTGTCTCTGATGGCTTTTAATATTCTGTTCTTATATTGGATTTCTGGAATCTTGATTATTATATGCCTGGGTGTAGTTCTGTTTTGATTGTAGGTGGCTGGATTTCTGTGTGCCTCATACATCTGAGCATCTTTCTCTTCTCTTATGTTTGGGAAGTTTTCCCTCATTATTTCTGTGAATATCCTTTGCAGTTCCTTTGTTTGTACCCCTGCTTCTCCTCTCACATTCTTTATTCTTAAGTTATAGATCCTCTTGTCATCTTCTAGCCTTTGTATTGTTACTGCTTGTTTCCTTGTTATTTTTAAGATGTTTTTCCTTTCATGTTCCCACATTATAAACCTGTCCTCCAGTTCAGATAATCTTAGTTTCTTTCAAACTGTTATGCCAGCTTTCAATAGAGTTTTTAGTTTCCTGGTAATCTCTTTGAACCTGCTTCATGTATTGTATGTTTTCTTTATTTTTTCCATCAAACAATTCTCCACCTTTTATTTGTTCTTCCATTCTACCATCTGTTTTTTCTTGGAAGGTATTTAGCATTTCTTTAATTATTCTATTTATATCTTGCTTTACTTGGTTAAATACTTCACTTTTGAACTCATCTATGAGGTCCCAAAGATACCGCTTTATGTCTATTGGTACCATGCCTGATATTGCATGTTTTCTGTCCTCATTCTCCTTTGCATTTACCTTTCCTGGATCAGTGTTCTCAGGATTGGGGACTGAGGACCCTTTCTTGTTGCCTCCTCTTCTCATATTTTTGTTCCTTCCATACAGGCGTATATAGGAGGCCCAGTTTCTTTCTTTGTCAGTTTCAGTTTGTCTGAAGTGCACTGACTAGATGTTCCCGCCCACTGCAGTGTACGAGGGAGATACAGAGCAGGATAGGCTATTCTGGGCCCGCCCCTCCAGGTCAACCTACTGAAGGGCTTCACTGTGTTAGGATGCACCACCAGGCACAGGGACTGGTTTGGGCTAGCCTACTGGGTCTTAGTTCACAGGTCACCCAGGTCAAGCGCTCCCCACCAATCCTGTTTGAGAGGGGAATGTGCAACTGAAGTCATTGCAGCACCCTGTTCCGGCTAGTCTGCCTGGTCCCAGAATGTCCTCTGTTGGAGCCTCTTTGTCTATGGAAGGGTTTTTATTCCCCTCACTCGCCGCAGGTCAATGCAGGGTTCCCCACCAGCTCTGCTCTCAATTCGGTTTGCCGATTCCCGCTCTCAGAGTGTTCGCATCTCCCGTGAGTTGAAGCTAGCTAGCTGTCCCAGCTGCGCCAATTCAGGTGCAGCAGCAGTAGCGAGTTCAATCTGGGGGTTCAAGTGGTGGCACTGAGACTTTAGCTGTTCCAGTCGTAGCACCAGGACTGTATTTTTAATTGGTTCCTCTCAGATTAGTTCATTTCTGGGTCGGCAGGGTGTAACTCCCTCTGTTTGGGACTCCCCACGCTGTATTATTTTTGGAATCTAAGTTGACTATCTCAGAGAGCCTCTGTAGCTGCTATTATCTATCTGCCATCTTTTCTCCATTTCCTGAAGTAGGTTTTTTAAAATCAGTTATCACTGACCAAAATTAGAAATGTGGGTAATGCCAAGTCAGTGGGAAGTGAAAATTTCAGGTACTTCTAAAGGGAGGAAGACAGGACAGTCATTCTGAAAAGCAGCTGGGCACTAGTGACTCATTATGTGCACAGTCAGTGGGGTGACACATTTGTCTTTTTCCAAGTTATAAATCCCAAAGAAATGTTTACAAAGATCCAAAAAGCCATGCACAAAGGGCATTGATCACAGCCTGTGTCGGGAGGAGTTGGTACTCATTAATACGCAAGCAAGTACGCGGCCGGTGGAGTTTCTTGAAGCTGTGACCCCTATCCACAGAGACAGACGTGCATCTTAATAGCAATGTTAAATGAAAAAATAAGGTACAAAATGAACTCTTGTAACCCTCATCTAGGGTTACAGATCAGAAACACCTATACACTCTAAACCATGTACAAAAACAGAGAAGCATTAAGTGTGTGCTGCTGTTGCTCCTGGGGAACCAGGGAAATAAAAATTCAAGACTTGACATCAAGGGTAAAAAACACATTTTAAGAACTCAAAAACTCAAATTAGTGAAAAGCCAGCACTCTTCCATGACTAGATCACACATTCTCTTCAATAATGGTTCTACTCTGAGTAACAGTAAATTGTATCAACCCTTTATTTAGTGATATCCGTAAGTTTTATTTCAGATGAGATTGGGCATGTTCAGTACTGTATGGTCCTAGACTGTAAGTTTTATTTCAAATGATGGTCACTTTGCTGACCATGTTGTGAAAAGTCTTCCTTTAAATAATAATCCCATAACTATTCGCAGTTCCTGTGGGTAGATGTGGGTCATTACACTGTGACAAACATGCATTTACTAACTTTCAGAAAGAAGGGAAGAGAATGGTTTTCATTATTTGATCATTTTTTTATGCCTGTATCTTGTAATCTGAGCAACTATTTTGAAGATGACAGTATACAATGTATTAATCATTGTTAATCTCTTATTATTTTGTTTTGAAATTATCATTTTTAATGTTTTTTCAAGTATTGCAGCAGGAACTGAAAACATAACTAATAATTAACACTAATTTTTTTCTTAGTTCACTAGGCATATCAAATTTAAAATATCGTTTATATAGATTGACCAAACCAATATTATAGAATTTGAATGATAGAGAACCTTAACTATGTATCAATTTTGAAGATCACTGAGACATAGAATATAGAAATTGTTTGGTTTTAAGTAACAGCACTATTATCCTTTCACAAAATCTGTTTATAGAAGGCATGCACAATAATTTTTGTAAATTAAATATTAAAACTTTTAAAAGAGTGAATCAGGAAAGGTGTTAAAAAGAATAAGTTATTAGTTAACTATGAATGCTGAAAAGTATTATTTAGAATACTTTACAAAATAAAATCTTGTTTTGAAAGACTTAATTTAGGAAATTATTTACTAATTAAGTGAATTCCAGATTGATTTCAGCATCTTACAAACCAGGAATATTTAACAAGAGAATAGGGTTATGTGTCTAGTCACAGTTATATTTTAGAAGATTGCTTTACATGGCTAGGCATAGTTGAAATTTACAAAACTAAATATATAGCTTTTTATTCATGCTATTGAAATCATTGCCTTCTGTAAATCAGTAAGAAGTTGGTAATGAATGAATACAGGAAGCAAAATGAGAGAAACAGCAGACCAAGCACTGTCCCTGCGAACTCCAGGACTGAACAGGACTGCACACCTAATAGGAAACTCTGAGAAGGTTCTGGAGGCTTCTTAGTTGAAAGAGTAGAGGCTCTTTCCTCTGATTCTTTATAGAAGCTTAATATGGTTATTGATTCTTAGTAATTTACATAGTTTCTCAGTAGCTACCAAATATTCTAAATTGCCTAGTGATTCCCAAACTCTCTTAATAGCTGGATTAACTTGCAGTCAAAGGAAGACATTCCTTCCTACTTATCTTAGAGGAAAGGCAATAAAAGACAGGAAAGGAATTGTATGGCAAGTTTCTTATTGTTTAATTTCATACTAATGTTCAACAATTGGAAATGAAATTTTTGGACAACAGCATTAAAACAGGCATTTCAAATTATCTTTCTGGTGTTTCATAAGAAATCTATTTAATATTAAAATTCATATTGAATATGTAACAGGCAGGAGAATGTTAAGCATTTTAGAAAGAAAAGGTTTTCATTTTGGGTCATAACTTATTAAAAGTGGTATTTTGCCATTTTTAAGAATTGAAGCTCTAATATATATAAATCAAATAGAAAAATGTTATAGAGGATATTCTTATCTATAGTGTTTCACAATAGAAAAGAAAAAAGGTAGGGAGCTTTGCTAAGCTTGGACAGTCTCCAATTTGTTTTCTTGAATCATTTAAGGCCCTGGAAAGCGAATTTGTTTCTTGCCAACTCCATCAGTGGATTGACCTCATATTTGGCTACAAACAGCGAGGACCAGAAGCAGTCCGTGCTCTGAATGTTTTCCACTACTTGACATATGAAGGCTCTGTGAACCTGGATAGTATCACTGATCCTGTGCTCAGAGAGGTAGGTGCAGCGTCCCATACTGTTCCAGAAATTTCTGGCATCTCTCAAACACAAACTGGACATTTTATCTGTTTTTGTATAAATTTCCTTTCAACATAACTCTCTCCCACATGTAGATTTCAAGTTCTTGACAAATGTTGAAAACTGAAAAAATGTCAGAAACAAGTAACCAGGCCAATACCTTGTGTATTTTTTATTGCAGACTCTTTTAATGCACTTTGTTTTGCTTCAGGGTTTCATTAAAATGTTTAATGTATTATGTGTTTTATTAATGAGTGAAATTTAGTTGAATATTTCAGTGTATCTCACTGTGGATTTTCTTTTTAAATAAAAACAATGAAATAGATGTGGTCCTAGTATTTTATACTATATTCTCAACCCAGAATGTTGATCACCAACAGTTGGAAATTTCGTATTATAGTATATGTGTAAGTATTTTAGTGAAGATATCCATATAAAATATTATTTGAATTACTTCCACGTTGCATGAAGTGATTTTAGATAGATGGAAAGAGTAGAGATGCAACAGCTGCTCCGTTAAGTGTTGCTGCAAGGAAGCTGTTTCCCAGTCTCCCATCCTACCTGATCCCTGCCATCTGCTGTATGCAAAACAAATCATCATTTCTGCGTCTCCAGGCTGTGAAATGCTTCTTTTCAATTTTAATTTTAGAGGTAAAAAACTGCAGATTTGGGATTGTTTTAAGCTGTACTAAAAAATTTGTGTATCACTCTATAAAACCAAAGCATCCCCTTTATATGGGTCCATGCAGAGGGGCAGCTAGCGAGAGAAGAGCCTCGTGGTCACAGATCTTTCAGAGAAGCATTGCAGCAATAGAGGCAGTCATCATATACACAAACAAGTGGAACTGGAGTATGAATGAGTGAGAGAACAGCCAGGCATTATGAAACTGGTTGGGAAATAAGGAATATTCTATGCAAACCAATGTACTCACCTTGCTTTAGTATCCCAAGTTGTGCGTAAATTGTACTCATATTATTTGGTAGGGTGATTCTTAGCTTAAGTATTATAACTGTACATCTTTGCCTGCCATGTGCCTGTTATGTAAATTCCTGCAAACCAAATCCTTTTAGAATCAAAAAGAAAAAGTAATAATTAAAATAGCTGATTTGTACATCATTCCAAGACCGAGTTCAAATTGCTTTTTGACTTTTAAGCGTACTAGATATTTTTGGTCTTAAATATTTTATTTTACAATACAGTATCCATTATAATAAATTCCAGCCTTGTAAAGAACTTACAAGTTAATCCTGTTGTATAAAGTACAAATATATATTGAGCACCTTGGCATAGTGAAAGTATAAGGCAATATTGAATGTAACTGAAAATATTAAGTTCTTGTACTTATATGAGATAAATGAAAGAATAGAAAGAAATTGGAATTAGCATTCATATCTCACATGAATGCAGCATGTATTATTCAATCCTAAAAATATCTGCTTCTGCAAAACACACCATTCCTTTATATAACTAAAATATTGATAGGCCATACTCATCAAACTGTAAGAGTTCCTAATGAAACATTACATGAAAATGTTTACTTTTTCATTGTTTTGTTGGGAGGAGTGATTCGCCCTCATGTTTGCTTATTGTATAGATGGTCTGAATGACACATGATGGCTCCTTCTTCCCTCGTAGGGTGTAAGCTGCCTCATGCTAGCTAGGGTGCTGTGCCTCAGGGCTCTCTGTCTCCTTCCAGCATTGTCATTCTGAACTCGTAATTGCTAGGTACTGAGGTCCCACTAAATCTTCTCAGAATCATACCATGAGATATATGCTCTGCCCCCGCAAACCCTTGCTCTAGTTCCTGACCCTGTCAGCTTTTACAATACCAGATGCAAGGGCCACACCCCTTGGATACTGTTATCTTCCTTCCCCCCAGCCAGCACAGGCCCAAGTATGTGCCAGCAGAGATGTCTGCCCTGACTGCAAGGGCCTGTGTCCACTCAGAATTGCTTAGGAAGATAGTTCATCTCCTTAGGACCAGCGGATGACTACATAATGTGATGTAATCGTAACTCTTTAAACTTTTTTTTTCTGATGTAATCATAACTGATGGAATGATTTGAAGGTGTGTGATTTAATCCCTCTCTCCCACTCCCTGCCATTACTCCCTCCGATGTGTTCCCTTTAACATACTCCTTCCCTTACATTTCCCTTAGTGTTAATGTCAGTTAATCAGTTAAAAGCTAGAAGCATTCCCAGAAAATTGTGGCGTAACCTTGAAAAGTGTAAAAATTGAGAAGATACGTGCATCCTAGGAGCTGGCTGAACGTGGCCAAATTATTTAATCTCACTCTGCTCCATTGCCTTCTCTATAAAGGCCATGATACCTATGCTTCCTGGTGTTAAAGCAGCTAGCATCTACTGTCACAAGAACAAGCCTGTGATAAGTGGATGAAGTATAGCATATTCACTACCAGTAGTCATTTCTGCCCTTTATGAGGCAGAAATGCATCAGCCCTTCAGTAAACTCTCCGGGAGGCAGGATACTTTTTTAAAAAGGCAGTGTTGGATTCCTGGAAATCTGCACTGCTGTACCATAACTTGAGAGAGCTGGTCTCCATTTGAATGTTTGGCCACAGGCTCATGCAAAAAGCAGTTCAAAATGTTTGCCCTTGTGCTGAAAACGTAGCACTGTGGTAGAATGCTTTCCTGGCATACATGAAGCTGGAGGTGATCCCCAACACCTCAGAAAAGGTTAGCCCTTTAACTGAGCTTAATGCACTCCTATTTATAATAGTTATCTTAGATTTTTTAAAACTCCAAAAATTCCTACAAGGAAAGCTAGTTAAAGTTATACCAAATTACAACTAGCCTAAGGAAAATGTAGGGATTTTTTATGGCGATTTAAAAGAGAAATGTTTAATATAATATATGAATATTTACATATATCTCTTTTACTTAAAAGCTGTTCTACAATATGCCTATAGCTGTGAGCTTTGAAATTAGTGCTAAATTTTGAGAAACTGCTTAAGGTTATTGATTCATTCTTCCTTGACAGGTGAAATCATGAAGCAGCACTAACCACACCAATTATGGCATTAAAACGTCAAGAAATTAGAGGTCAGAAGAACAGATAATTTTGTTCTCCATGTCAGAGTAAAAACTGACATTCTTTGACACTATAGGATCTCTTGCTGAGAAAATTATGACAGCTTAACTTATTTTATACTTGTAAAGCAGTAATTGATTATAAACTTTACCATGACAGCCTCCGGGCTGAAACATGACAGCACAGTTCTGTTACAAAGCTCTTCTTAATATGTAAACACTAGATCTTTGGATAATAGATATTATTTAAATTGTCCTGAGTCCTGGCTTACATCATAATCTTCTAGGCAGTGTTTTTCATGAGTTTCGCTGACTGTTTGGGCAGTGCTTTTCAAGCCTGACAGTGAGTATTCTTTCTGTCCATTGCTGTATACTAATAAGTATATGATTTGCATTCTGTTCATATTTACTGAAAATCCATCCATGACCTGTTTATAAAACAAAGCATTCTGGTTAGAAATTCTTGCTTCCCATGGTTCTCTAGCTCTGTGCTACATGAGTGTGGTCGAGTCTGGTAGTATTGGCATCACATGAGGTCACTAACTCAAACTGCATCCCGCGAGGTACAAGGTGAATTTTTTTTTTTTTTTTTGAAATGGGGAGGGTGATGAACCCACGGCATTTACATTATGACTAGTTCATATTCATTACAATTTAAGATCTCTTGTTTATCTAGGCAAGATGATGCATGCCTGTACTCCTAGCATTCTGGAGGCTGAAGCAGGATTATCACAAATTCATCCCAGCCTCGGCTATTTAATGACTTAATGTGATCATGTTTCAAAGGTAAAAAAAAAATTTAAAGGACTGCAAAAATAGTTCAGTATGAATGAAAGTCTTTGGTTCCATCCTTGATATTAAATAAGTAAATAAATAAAACAAGCAAACAAGTGATGCTGTACTGAATGTATGTTAGGTCATTTGGCAAACTTTTCTTTTTTCCCTGTGAAAAGAGAGACAGTGATATCTCATGGGCATTTCAAAATGTCCAGAGAGGAGCTTTAAGCAGGTTTGTTTAGAAAAAGTTCTCTAGAACTTCACACACTTTGTCAGTTAAAAAATATTAATCTAGCCTAACACGGTCAGTAACTAATTTTTCCAAGGATACCCAGCCATATATACAGTGTCAGAAGCAGGACTGAGGTGAGGCCCCCTGAGTCAGTATTCCTATGGCCTACCATTTTCTAAAAAGTTTAAAATAACAACATATACTAAAATTTATTGTAGGCAACATTCTTGTTGCTTCCGAAGTGATCCTTTCAATTTTAAGAAGGCCTAATGTGTATTTCCACTTTACTAATTCACAATTCAGTGTTTTTCTACACCATTTATATTTAACAAACTGATTAAAACTTTCAGTAACTATAGGATGATTTTTAAGAAAACTGTTAATGGCCATTTCCTCAATCATTTGTCTGATTACATCTCAGCAAAATAGAGTTGTACACTGTATCAGTTTTCAAGGGTTCCAAAGGTACCATGAGATTGTGCCATAGATAATAGTTTGTTATTAGAGATAGCTTAGTGCCACAAAATTTTTACTATACTTTTATGAGTGAAATATATTTTTATAAAATTGTTTTAAGAAATTGTGACACTTAGAACCACAGACATTTAATTGTGTCAGATCCAGACGTTGACTACTTGATATGCAGTAAGCAAATAAAAACAGGTAGAAAGATGGGAATCAGTTTGTAGCTTGTATTACAACCTCCCCATTAGGGATTAAACCAGTCACATAACTTGGATGTACCTGTGTTTCCTCACCTAAAACATGGTAAGAAAAATAAAACCTAACTCAAGGCAGAAGAACCAAGAGTATGTGATTTTTAATTAAGAACATAATCAAATGAAGTATCTTAGAAAAACCTTTAATTTCTCTATGTATAATACTAAAATCATCAAATTCATGAAGATTTATGATACC